TGGACAGGACCGCGAGCGCTACTTCCTGCTGGTTGTTGACGACTACACGCGTTACACCACGGTCTTTCCCTTGCGCAGCAAGGATGAAGTCTCTGATGTCTTGATCCCTTGGATCCGCGCAGTCCATCTCCAGCTCCGTGATCGGTTTCGTGAGGACCTTCCTGTCCTGCGTCTGCACTCTGACAGAGGTGGTGAGTTCTCCTCCGACCTCTTGTGGGACTTTTGTCGTGGGGAGGGCATTCCCCAGCTGTTCACGCTTCCGGCCTCCCTGCAACAAAATGGGGTTGCTGAGCGCCGCGTTGGCTTAGTCATGGAGGTGGCTCGTACCTCCATGATCCATGCGGCTGCTCCCCATTTTCTATGGCCGTTTGCGGTCCGGTACGCTGCGCATCAGCTCAACCTCTAGCCCCGTGTCTCCTTGCCAGAGACCTCGCCTACACTGCGTTGGACGGGGAAGGTTGGTGATGCGTCGGTGTTCCGGGTCTGGGGTTCTCGTGCCTTTGTTCGCGATACGTCCGCGGACAAGCTCTCCGCATGCGCAATTCCCTGCATCTTCCTTGGCTTTCCCCCTGACGCGCCTAGCTGGCAGTTTTACCACCCCACCTCGCGCCGTGTCCTCCCCTCTCAGGACGTAACGTTTGACGAGTCGGTTCCCTTTTACCGTCTCTTCCCCTACCGCACTGCCCCTCTCCCCCCCCCCGCCGCTCTTCCTTGCTCCAGGTCCCCCTCCGGTAGACCCCCTCCCCCCTCAGGGTCCTGCTCCCTCAGGTGTGTCTCAGGTAGACACACTCCCCGGGACTATGCCTGTCGAGGTCGCTGTAGACTCAGGTGCTGCTAGAGGTGCTGCGTCTTGGGGTGCTGCATCTGGGGGCACCGCGTTTGGGGGTGCTGAGCCTGCGAGTGCGGAGCATAGGGGTGCTGAGTCTGAGGGTGCGGAGTTTGGGGGTGCTGAGCCTGGGGGTGCGGAGCCTGGGGGTACTGAGCCTGAGGGTGCCGAGCCTGGGGGTGCTGAGTCTGAGGGTGCGGAGTCTGTGGGTGTTGAGCCTCGGGGTACTGCGTCTACTGGAGGTCCTGCGGGTGCCTCGCCACGACTGTCTCCCTGGCGGGAGCCTCTCTCACCGCAACAGCTGCGTGAGTGGTTTGCTCAGTGCACATGCCTTAGGAGTGGCGCTGCAGGAGCTGGAGGCTCTGCCGCTTGAGGCACTAGAGCTGGAGGTGCTGGAGCTACTAGTCTTGGAGGAGCTGGAGCTGGAGACCCTGGAGCTGGAGACCCTGGCGCTGGAGGCGCTGGAGCTGGAGGCACTGGTGGTGGAGGCGCAGGAGCTGGAGCCTCTGGAGCTGGAGGCACTGGCGCTGGAGGCGCTGGATTTGGAGGAGCTGGAGCTGGAGACCCTGGAGCTAGAGGCACTGGCGCTGGAGGTGCTGGAGCTGGAGGAGCTGGAGCTGGAGACCCTAGCGCTGGAGGCTCTAGCGTTGGAGGCGCTGGAGCTGGAAGCACTGGAGCTGGAGACCCTGTAGCTGGAGGTGCTGGCACTGGGGGTGCTGGAGCTAGTGGTGCTGGTGCTGGAGGCACTGTGCAGCGGCGCCAGTTTTTCGTTCCGCCGCCGCCGTCGTCTCTGCCGTCACCTGACTCGGTCCTTCGCCAGGTTCTTAGTCTCCCATCTTCTACTGGCCTTCCTCCTAGCTTACTGAGTCCACCGCCTCACCAGTCGCAGCCACATTTACAGCCAGACTCCCCACTTCCTGCTCCTTCTCCTTATGCTGAGCAGACAGACTCTTTTACAGAGCTTCGTGAGCCTGAGTCTCGTCCTGCCTCGCCGGTTCGCGCCGTTCGCACTAGTCGTCGTGTTCCTCGTCCGCGTCCTCCTCCTGTCCCCAGCACTCACATTACGGAACTTCGTCCTTCCTCTGTTCCACTCCGAATTCCCCTGCCTTCTCCTCCTGCGTCCTCTCTTCCTGACGTTCCTGACCCTGAGTCTGACTTAGCTCGTGCAGCCAGTCCTACTGTCCCTCGTCTTCTAGCCACTGTTGTCACTGACCCTTCGTTTCAGTCCGCTACTGCTTCTGCCGTAGTTGCTGAGCTTGTTGACTTTGCTGCCGCTTGTCGTCTCGACTACTCCACTAGTCTTGTTGCTGAGTCTGAGTCTGACTGTCCTCCGTCCGTCGGGGGTGAGTGTGCTCTTGGCACGGACGTCCTTGAGGACAGGCAGGAGGACTTTGAGTGTCTTGCACCTGCTGTACCCCATCTCGTGGCCATGCTGCTTGCACTTGAGGGAGACCCGGATGCACCAGACATCCCGACCCCGCGCTCTTACGTAGAGGCGATCACGGGTCCCTACTCCTCTCAGTGGCAGACAGCCATGGACGCAGAGATGGCATCCTCGAAGTCCACAAGCACCTACGTCGACGCAGTTCCCCCTCCTGGGGCGAACATAGTCGATGGCATGTGGATTTTCAGGGTGAAGCGGCCGCCGGGTTCTCCGCCTGTCTTCAAGGCTCGTTACGTTGCACGAGGCTTCAGTCAGCGTCAGGGAGTTGACTTCTTCCAGACCTTCTCCCCTACCCCGAAGATGACCACTCTTCGGGTGTTGCTGCACGTCGCAGCTCAGCGTGACTACGAGCTGCACTCTCTTGACTTCAGCACAGCTTTCTCACAGGGCAGCCTTCACGAGGAGATCTGGCTGCACCGCCCACCTGGCTTCACTGGGTCGTTTCCTGCAGGTACCCAGTGGAGCCTCCGGCGGCCAGTCTACGGTCTCTGCCAGACGCCTCGCGAGTGGCACGACACACTGAGGACGACGCTTGCGGCTCTTGGATTTGCTCCTTCGAGTGCTGACCCGTCGCTGATTCTACGCACCGACACTTCGCTGCCGCCGTTCTACGTCCTCGTGTACGTCAACGACTTGGTCTTTGCCACTGCTGACACTGAGGCACTGGCCCTTGTGAAGTCGGAGTTGCAGAAGAGACACACCTGCACTGACCTGGGTGAGCTGCGCAGCTATCTTGGCTTACAGATCACCCGGGACAGAGCACGGCGCACCATCACACTCACTCAATCGCACATGGTGCACCAGGTCCTTCAGCGCTTCGGATTCTGGTACTCCTCGCCACAGTCCACTCCTCTGCCTACCGGTCACTCGCTCTTAGCTCCACCTTCGGACGAGTCCGTAGAGCCGAGTGGCCCGTATCCAGAGCTTGTGGGTTGCCTCATGTACCTGATGACCTGCACTCGACCTGACCTTGCCTACCCTCTTAGCATCCTGGCACGCTACGTTGCGCCCGGGAGACACCGACCAGAGCACTGGGAGGCCGCTAAGAGGCTTTTGCACTACTTGTGCAGTACATTGCGCATGGGGCTCGTGCTTGGAGGACGGGGTCCAGTTGTCCTCACTGGACACGCAGACGCTTCTTGGGTTGACGACTTGGCAACGCAGCGGTCGTCACAGGGTTACACTTTCAGCTTTGGCTCCGGCTCTGTTTCTTGGCGGTCTACCCGCTCGTCTTCTGTTCTCAGTTCCAGTTGTGAGGCTGAGATCTACGCAGGGGCCATGGCTGCTCAGGAGTTACGTTGGCTCACCTACCTGCTGACCGACTTGGGAGAGCGGCCTCGTTCTTCTCCAATTCTGTACGTAGACAACAAGGCCATGATTTCCTTGTGTCATGAGCACAGACTGGAGCACAGAACGAAGCACATCGCTCTGCGTTACTTCCTTGCTCGAGAGCTGCAGCAGCGTGGTCAGCTTCGTCTTGCTTACGTGGCCACTCGGGCCAACACTGCTGATATATCCACCAAGGCACTTCAGTCTGGTGATCATCAACGTTTCTGTACTCTTTTAGGTCTTGTGCCTACTTTGCCTCACTTGCTCACTGCGTGACTTTGCTTGTACTATGATCTATATATATATCTGCATGCTTACACTTGCTATGGTATGATCACTGTACTGTTTGTTCTCTTTTATATATAACTCTGCATGTGAACTGGCCTTGTGGCCATTTGCTTGTACTTGGAATGTGTGGCGACTTCGTGATCCACCCCGAGCTTGTTTTGTTTTTCTTGACTGGTCTTGTGACCACTTGTTCTCTCTCATTTTGCCTATGGGTGTGTGTCAAAATGTTATAATGCTTACATTATGTAGGCTGTAGTGGGGTAGCCCATAAGGGGTACAACCCAATTACGGTTAGTACTTGTACCGTACCAGCGTTTTTCTCAATGCATTTCATTCGCGTTCAGTATTCTGGCAGAGTAGGGGGGCGAGCAGGGGGCGAGCAGGGGGCGGCGGGGTTGCAGAAGAGCATGGGCAGTGAGCCGGGGATGTACCGTATGGGTATGGCAGCCCTGCTGAGGTGCGTGTTGGCTGCGTCACACCCCTATGCCATGGCTGCCAGTGCCACCGCTGCCACGCAGGTCAGGGGAGGGGAGGATGGCTTGTGCATGAGGGGGGAAGTCGTGCATGAAAGTGTAATTTGTGGTTGACTGATGTGGTGGCTGGGTTCATTCGGAAACCAATGGGTTCTATGGAAAACTGATTGCATGTGATATTGACTTGTACGACTTCTTTAGGAATATTTCTGTTCTGCCTTCCCCCAAGCTCTCATCTAACTTGAACAGTCACACCCAGAGCAGCCCCTTGTACGGCCACAGGCTACCAGCACCAGTGGTGCTGCTGCCACTAGCTCATCCCCGCCCCTGACATGAGAGTAGACTCGAAATCACTTAGCCTCGCCCCGAATCAGCCCGCCGTGAGCAACAAAGAAGGGCAGCAGCACCAGCGAACCAACAACCACCTTATTCACCAAATAACCCGTACAACCAGGACACCTCCAATCTCCCCCCCCCCCTCTCCCCTCACTTGGACATGCCCCAAATGAGCCCGCCTTGCGCCACGAAGAACGGCGCCAGCACCAGCGACTCCACAGCCATCAGCTTAATCAGAATGCTCAGCGACGGGCCCGATGTATCCTTGAGAGGGTCTCCCACAGTATCAGCCTTCCCCAACCCCTCACTTGGACTTGCCCCAAATCAGCCCGCCGTGCGCCACAAAGAAAGGCGCCAGCACCAGCGACTCAACAGCCATCAGCTTGATGAGAATGTTCAGCGACGGCCCAGATGTATCCTTGAGCGGATCACCCACAGTATCCCCAATCACCGCTGCCTTGTGCGCCTCTGACCCCTTCGGCCCCAGCGACTGCGCGTGCTCCGACATCCCTGCTTCGATATACTTCTTCGCGTTGTCCCACGCGCCGCCCGTGTTACTCGCCGATACCGCCATCTGCACCCCAGACACCAGCGCTCCTGCTAGCAGCCCTGCCAGCGTTGCCGTCCCGAAGAGAACCCCTGTGATGATCGGTGCGAGCAGCACGAGCGCGCCAGGTGGCAGCATCTCATTGAGCGACGCCTTGGTGGAAATCTGCACGCACTTGTGGTAGTCGGGGCGGGCGGTGCCCTCCATGAGGCCCGGGATGGTGTCAAACTGCCGCCGCACCTCGTTCACCATGGCTAGAGCGGCCTTGCCGACGCTCTTCATGGTCATGGCACTGAACCAGTACGGCAGCATGGCGCCCACCAGCAGGCCCACGAAGGTCTGGGGAAAATGAGAGGTGGGCAGGTGGGGAGGGGAGAGGGGAAGGGGGGAATGGAGGTGGTGGTGAGAGCATGGATGATGTGGGCCTGACCCTGACCACATAGGCGCTAATGCATAGGCTCTTGCCAGGGGGCACTAGAGTGCTTTTGAGACGTCTCAAAAGTCTTGCGAGGGGGCACGAGACGTCTCAAAAGTCTTGCGAGGGGGCACTAGAGTCCACGGGTGCGTGGTTGCGTGGAGACTGTCGCAACGCTGACCTACGTGACGGTGACAAGGATTTCGAGCACATGGTTGTGCCCGGCTGACACTGCTAGTATGAGAGGTACAGAGGTGGGTGGGTGGAGGGATGTGTGGCCCTAACGCACCTGCGGGTTGGTGATGAGGATGTTGGTGACCTGTGCGCGGCTCACATACGCTCCAAACAGAGCCAGCGACACCAACGCTGCTGACCCGATGGCAAAGCCCTGCAGGAAATTGGAGAAGGGGAGGCGGGAGAAGACAGAGGTTTGGCATTGAAAGATAGGTGCGGGGAGTTTGGATGGGGGCAGAGTGAGACGGTGGTGGTACCAAGATGAAAAAGTGCTGTGAAATGGGAGTGGGACAGTGGAATGGGGATATGTAGTGAGACGGGGAGGGGGTAACGAGATGAGGCCAAGGAACTAGGACTCTCATACGCGCACCTTGCCAATGGCAGCAGTCGTATTCCCAGCCGAGTCCAGCGCATCTGTCCGCTCCCTCACATCCGCTCCAAGCCCCGCCATCTCTGCAATCCCCCCGGCATTGTCCGAGATCGGCCCGTACGCGTCAATAGCGAGGCTGGTAGCGAGCGTGGAGAGCATGCCGAGGGCGGCCAGAGCCACCCCGTACATGGCGGCGATGGCATAGCTGATATAGATGGCCACGGCGATGGCGAAGACGGGCACGACTACGGACTTGTAGCCCAGGGCTAGTCCGAAGATGATGTTTGTGGCTGCCCCTGTGCGGCACGAGTCTGCCACGTCTCGTACCGGGCTGTTGGGGTTCGGGGGGAGAATGGGACGGGGGGGCGAGGGGGGTGGAGGATGGAAGATGGGGGAGGGAAGGGTAGGGCGAGGAAGCGGATAAGGAATGGGGGGAGGGGGAGAAGGGGGAGAGAGGGGAGGGAAGATGGGGAAGGTAACCCTCATCGCTGGAACTGTAACCCGCAACACTCACGAGTAAGCATGGCTGGTGAAGTACTCAGTCACATAGCCAATGAGCAGCCCGCCCCACAGCCCCGAGGCCACACAGAAGAAGATCTGCCAGTTCTGCGCCGTCTTGTCCGCCTCCTCGCCCGCCACCACAATGGTAAACGACGCCGGCAGCGCCAGATAGCACAGCCCCAGCACGAGCGGCGTCATGAGCACCGTGCTGATCAGCAGCTGCGCCTTGAGCTGCGGCTCCACATGGCGGGCCTCAGTGACGTGGAACCAGTCGGTGGCGAAGAGCGTGGTGAAGAGGCACACGAGGATGCCGAGCGCGGAGACGAGCAGCGGGAAGCACATGGCGGTGAAGTTGTGCGTCTGGCCGAGGACGAGATGGACGCGATCACGAGGGCTGCGCAGGTGGACTCGGCGAAGGAGCCGAAGAGGTCTGAGCCCATGCCTGCTATGTCACCTACATTGTCTCCCACATTGTCTGCGATGACCTGGCGTTGAAGGCAAGAAGACGAAAGGAAAGGGGGGAGGAGAATGGGGAACAGGATGGGAAGAGATTAATGTGGAGCCGCTATATCCCCATGCCTGCTATATCCCCCACATTGTCTCCCACGTTGTCTGCAATGGCCTGGTGTTGAAACAAGGAGGGGAGAGGTGGGATGGGAGGGGGAAGGGGAAGAGTGGGAAGAGCATAATGAGTGAATTGTGCAAGGGGTGGAGCCAAAGAGGTCCGACCCCATGCCTGCTATGTCACCGACGTTATCGCCCACATTGTCCGCGATAACTTGCACAGGAAGCACGTGTGGGAAAGCATGGAAGGGGGAGATGGAGGGGGGACGTTGGTTGCCTAAACTTCTTTCTGCCTCATGCCATTTTGCAGCTTGGTTCTCACACTGAATTCCAATGCCATTTCACATACCCTTCTTTCCCACCTCCCTCAAGACATGTCCTCTAGTGCCACAAAACACCCACCCACCAGGGGTACACCTCATAAACTCACCGCTGGGTTCCTTGGGTCGTCTTCCGGGATGTTCCGCTCCACCTTCCCCACCAGATCCGCGCCCACGTCCGCCGCCTAGGTGTAAATCCCCCCCCCCCTCTCCCCCCTTCCCACGCGCCCAAACAGCGCGACACTAAAACTGAGACGTCTCAAAACTCACCGCTGGGTTCCTTGGGTCGTCTTCCGGAATGCCCCTCTCCACCTTCCCCACCAGATCCGCGCCCACGTCCGCCGCCTAGGTGTAAACCCCCCCCCCCCCTCTCCCCCCTTCCCACGCGCCCAAACAGCGCGACACTAAAACTGAGACGTCTCAAAACTCACCGCTGGGTTCCTTGGGTCGTCTTCCGGAATGCCCCTCTCCACCTTCCCCACCAGATCCGCGCCCACGTCCGCCGCCTTGGTGTAGATCCCTCCGCCCACGCGCCCAAACAGGGCCACGCTGGAGCCGCCCAGCCCATACCCCGTGATGGTCTCGAAGAGCGACGCCCAGTCGTTGCCGTAGTAGAGGCGGAAGAGCACGATGGTGATGAACAGCACGATGAGTCCGTTGGCGGCGAGTAGGAAACCCATTACTGCGCCTGAGCGGAAGGCTACGACGAACGCTGGGCCGATTCCGCGCCGTGCCTCCACTGTCGTGCGCGCGTTGGCGTCTGGGGAAGGGGAGGGGGGAACGGCGGGCGTTGGGGAAAGGAAGGAATGGGAGTGGTGAAGTTGTGGTCGTAGTAGAGGCGGAAGAGCACGATGGTGATGAACAGCACGATCAGCCCGTTGATTGCCAGCAGGAAGCCCATTACTGCTCCCGAGCGGAATGCCACCACGAAGGCTGGGCCGATTCCGCGCCGTGCCTCCACTGTGGTGCGCGCGTTGGCGTCTAGGGAGAGGACGACGGGCGTTTGGGAAGGGAGGGGACGAGTGAGCGGTAAGGTGGGAGCTCAAGTGGAGGGCTGAGGGGCACGATGGTGATGGTCGCGACGAGAGAGGGAATGACGGAAGTGACGTACAGGTGGCGATCTTCATTCCCAGGTATCCCGACAGCGTCGAGGTGAGCGCGCCGAGAATGAAGGCGACAGTGGTGAAGAACGCGTTGGCGAGCGAGGGCACAACAAATGGAGAGGGAGAGGGGAGGGGGGAATGACGGAAAGTGACGTACAGGTGGCGATCTTCATTCCCAAGTATCCGGACAGCGTCGACGTGAGCGCTCCTAGAATGAATGCAACCGTGGTGAAGAATGCGTTGGCGAGCGAGGGCGCGCAGAGCTGCGAGGGGTTGCCTGTGCATGGCTGCCACGACGTGCTGAAGGAGTTGACGGAGCCGAGGAAGAGGAAGACGAGGACGCTGAAGAACGCCATGAATACCGCTAGGTACTTGTACTCCGTTGTTAGGAACGACGTCGCGCCTGGTGGAATGAGGAGGGAGGGGGAACAGGGTGGGGACGGGCAGCGAGGTGAGTGGGAAACTCTGGAAGAACGCTGCGAGCGATGTCAGGTACTTCAACGCTGGTGACACACATCGTCAGGAGTGGAATTAGGGTGGAAGTGTGGGGCGGAGAGAGGGGAAGGAGACGGATGGCATGGAGAGTGTTGCGAAAGAACGTGGATAAGCGGCATGGAGAGACCGCATGGGTGAAACGCGGGATGCAACGTGTCGATGAAACGCATGAAATGTCTCAAATTCGGCGTTGATGTGCGCCGTGAGCGGACTGGCTACAAGAAATGGTGGCGGTAGATGAGCAGCGTATATGTACAGTTGATATATGAATCTGGCAGCCATGTGTTCAATACGGCTTCGCGAAATCGCCACTAGCCGACATGCACACGCGCAAATTTACTTTCATATTCTACATAACGAGTTGCTGGGACGTGTTATTTCTGATGCACATCATAAAACACGACGCGGTATTTCATGCAACACCCCGCTAGTTAACCTGGCAATACGAGCGTTACATGTAAGGCCTGCCACACGGTCGCAGTAAAATGCGATCTTGCTGACGAAAAGCTATGCGGCATTCACACCTATTCGGCCTAAGAACATCCTATGCACCAGGTGAACCGTACGGACGCCGGGGCACCGTCGGAGCAAGTCAACCGTCATCGACATTTACACAGCTGCACGAACTCTTTAAAACGTACCTATTCTATACGAACGTACGCACCCGTTGAAATGGCATGTTGAATCTCCGCGATCTGCTGGTCCACGTTATCCGACTGTCCGTCTTCCAATCCGTACACACTCAGCGGCGCTGTCAGCTTCACCCGGCTCACGACACCCCATTGGTACAGAGCGAACGCTATGCCTAGAGCCGCCGACAGTGGAATAAATATGTCGACGAACGTCTCGCCTAATGTGGTCTCCATGTTCCAAGTCTCTGCGATTATCCCAGTAATCGCCTCTGACATTAATAATGCTGAGCGTGTTGCATAAAGTAAGCCCTAAGATTTCCTACGTGAAAGCAGACCGGCCTCTATGCGTCGCGATTGGAGCAGAGGAGAAGAGAGCTTGAGGAGAACAAGTATTCTACACATCAGCCAGGCAGCTAGACCGACCAATAATTGTCTTCTGTGAATACACGAATGCCCTGGCTTGGTTATTGCTGAAGCTCCAGAACAGGCAATCTCCGAACTCGTGGGATCGCTCTGCATTGCATATAACCACATGGAGATGCCCGCCACCACAAGGCCTAGAAAACTCACTACACTCCACCTTTCCGAGACGAAGTGATGTCGAAGATCCGTAACATTTGGAATTTGATGGGCAGGGCACCTCAATTCTCATTCACCATCGAGAAGAGCTCATTGGACGGCTAGATCTGCCTCGAGCTATCCATCACAGTCATAGTGCTGCTGTATGGAGCTCGACCCTTGACCTCTGATTCCCGTGCCGTCAGATATGTGAACACGGTGACCTGACCGGACCTGACCCGATCTCACCTGAACCCCAGCATTCCATTCCCTCGAAACCTGACAACCAAGTCAGGAGCTGCCGGGGTTGACGGAGGGGGAACCCGGGTACAGATAAATATGCTGTTTGAGCAATCTAAGGTTTCCCATGTTGGGTTGAAAAAGCCCTTTAGGATCTTTGCAGGGCAGAACTCAAGGGTAGGATGATGTAATAGCGGAAGCGTTTAATAAATGATTGTGAACCACCTTGCGCTTGTATGTGAGGGCAAAGTAAGTTAATAATAATAAAAGAGATACAAGCTTTTATAAGAATACAAAGGAATATGAAGAGATACAATAACTGTTTTACTGTTGCTGTTGCGGTTCGATACAGTGTCGACTCGGGCAACTGCTCAGTATCGAGACAGTTGTTTGTCCTTGCTGTCGCGCTGCATTTGTCAGGTCAAAGGTCGCTGACCTTTGACTTTCGCGTAACCTCCAACAGTTATTCAACCTCCGAGGGTTGACTCACCGATATTTCGATACGAGCTGCTACGCTTCTGTCTTGGTGTTTCGACACGACAGAGGCGCCTAAATCAGTTGTTTCCAACACTCCCCTTCGCTTCTGGAGTGTCGCTGCAGGTGACGTGGCTCTGTCCAGTCAGCAGCATGCAATATTCGAACTTCGACTTTCCGAACTTCTTGGTCAAGTAATCAGCTGCCATCTCGGATGTGGGGCAGTAAGACAGCTCAAGTCTCCCCTTCTCGATCTCGTCCTTTACGAAGAAATATCGCAGGGCGATATGCTTCGTCCTGTTCGCAAATCCATTTTTGTTGGCTATGCGAATTGCCGACTGGTTGTCGCAAAATAGGGAGAAGCTGGGTAACTGGGCCAGCTTTGCTTGTCAAACTTATATGATCTAGCCTGTATAGGCTGTAGCGGGTTAGATACTAAGGGGTACACAATTCTAGGGTCTTATATTTGTATCACTTTCATTCCTTAGTCAATCCATTCTCGTTCTAAGTTTCTCATGGTATCGAGCAGGTTCCCTCGTGGGAACTGTTCCTAGGGCCCACCAAGATTTTTTTTTTCCTACCCGGGGCGCGTGCCGCCCCTGCCCGAAGCGCGCCTAGTGTCCCGCCCCTCAGGCCCCGTCGCTGCCCTCTCTAGGCCCCGCGTGGCCCCTTAGCGGCCCCGTCGCCGCCCCTTACGGCCCCGCGACCGCCCCTTACGGCCCCGCGACCGCCCCTTACGGCCCCGTCGCCGCCCCTCACGGCCCCGCGACCGCCCCTTACGGCCCCGTCGCCGCCCCTCACGGCCCCGCGACCGCCCCTTACGGCCCCGTCGCCGCCCCTCACGGCCCCGCGACCGCTCCTTACGGCCCCGTCGCCGCCCCTTAAGGCCCCGTCGCCGCCCCTTACGGCCCCGTCGCCGCCCCTTACGGCCCTGTCGCCGCCCCTCACGGCCCCGCGACCGCCCCTTACGGCCCCGTCGCCACCCCTCACGGCCCCGCGACCGCCCCTTCAGGCCCCGTCGCCGCCCCTTACGGCCCCGTCGCCGCCCCTTTCGGCCTCGTCGCCGCCCTTCAGCGGCCCCATTGTCGCCCTTCCGCGGCCCCGTCGCCGCCCTTTCGCGGCCTCGTCGCCGCCCTTCAGCGGCCTCGTCGCAGCCCCTCAGCGGCCTCGTCGCCGCCCTTCAGCGGCCTTGTTGCCGCCCCTTGCGGCCCCGTCGCCGCCCTTCGCGGCCCTGCCGCCCTTCGCGGCCCTGCCGCCCTTCCTCGGCCCCTCAGCCGCCCTTCCCGGCCCTGTCGAGCAGCCGAGCCGTCGTCACCGCCGAGCTGCCGAGCTGCCGAGCCGCCCTTGCCGCTGTGCCGCCGAGCTGCCGAGTCGCCGAGCCGCCGAGCTGCCGAGCCGCCGAGCCCCCGAGCTGCCGAGCCGCCGAGCCGCCGAGCCGCCCTGCAGCCGAGCTGCCGAGCCGCCGAGCCGCCACGCCACCGCAGCCGAGACGCCGCAGTCCCTGCCGTCGCGGCCCTGTCCCTTCCGGCCTGCCTCGGCCCACCCCACCTGCCTGGTAAGAGCAGCGCCTCTGCCACTGCACTGCCCTACCCCGTTGCTCTCTCTGCCAGTCTACTGCTGTCATGGCCACCCCCAGTGTTCTCACCTTTGACGCTGAGGGTCGGGCTGTTGACTTTGAGGTCTGGGTAGATGATCTGCAGCTTTTCCTACAGTGCGATAGGGCAGACGGTCTCTCTCTGTTTGACCTCACCTCTGGTGCCTCTCCTGCCCCTGCTGCTGATGCTGACGCCACTGTTCGCTCACAGTGGGCCACGCGCGATGCTGCTGCTCGCCTTGCTGTGCGCCGCCACTTACCGACCGCTGAGCGCGCGCATTTTAGTCAGTACAAGAGTGCTAAGACCTTGTACGACGCTGTCGTTGCACGCTACTCTTCCCCTGCCACTGCTGCCCTTAGCCGCCTCATACTGCCGTACCTCTTCCCTGACCTCGCCGCTTTTCCCACAGTCGCTGACCTCATTACGCACCTTCGCACTAGTGACATTCGCTACCGCGCTGCGCTTCCTGCTGAGTTCTGCGCCAAGAACCCCCCCCCTATGTACATCACCCTCTACTACATAGTCACCCGGCTCCCTGACACCCTTCGCTTGGTCAGGGACCACTTCCTCTCTGTTTGCCCCACCACCCTCACCGTTGACCTCCTCGAGGAGCGCCTCCTAGCAGCAGAAAAGAGTATAGTCGCTGTAGGAGCCTCTCGTGGTGACCCTCGTACCCCTGTCTTTGAGGGGTGCTCCCCCTCCCCCCTCTTGCCCTCTGTTGCCTCTGCTGCTGCGGCCGACCTCGTTGGTCCTGAGTCGGTCGGCGCGGCGTCTGCCCCTAGCGGAAGACGCCGCTCAGGCAAGGGAAAGGGGGGCAAGGGCGCTGGAGGAGCTGGCGGGGGCGGTGGAGGCGGCGGTGGAGGCGGCGGAGGGGGTGGGGGTGGCGGTGGGAGTGGTGGCGGGAGTGGGGGCACTAGTGGCGGCAGTGGAGGCGGAGGAGGCGGCGGCGGTGGCGGTGCGAGCGGAGGTGGTGGAGGTGGAGGCGGTGGTGGAGGTAGTGGCGGCGGAGGTGGAGCTGGTCGGGGCGGCTCTTCGCAGAGGGTCGGCTCCGGTGGTGGTCAGCGCCAGCAGCAGCAGCAGCAGCAGCAGCAGCGCACTCGTGAGACCCCTTCCCCCCAGCAGCTTCGTGAGTGGTACACTGCTCGTCAGCGGGGTTGGGGTGCTGGCCCCTGTACCTACGTTCTCCGTACAGGCGACCGCACGGGTGAGCAGTGTGGGGGTCCGCACTCCACCCAGCGCTGCTTCGGCCGCCTGACGGACGCTTGTCGTTCTCTACGAACTTGGTGAGTGGTGCTGACCTCCAGGATGGAGGGGTTCACCAGTTCACTCCTGCGAGTCAGCGAGTGACCCACTGTACCTGTGCTCGGACGGGCCGTCACTTGGCCACGTTTACCCGTCAGCCGGGGTCGAGCCTGTACACACTGACTACTGAGTCTCCTCCGGTCGCTGAGTCTGCTCAGGTAGCCGCGTCGGGTCAGGTGTTTGCTGCGGCGTCCAGGTCTGGTCCTGAGTCTGCCCCCTGCTCGTGTCGTCTCCTGTCTCACCAGACTCTCCTCTGGCACCACCGCCTTGGTCACCCCTCCCTGCCTCGTCTTCGAGGCATGGCCTCCCGTGTCCTTGTCTCTGGTCTCCCCCGGTCCCTCCCTCCCCTTCCTCCGGGGCCTGCCCCCACCTGCGTTCCCTGCGTCGAGGGGCGGCAGCGCGCTGCTCCTCACTCCTCCGAGTTTCCTCCGACAGAGGCTCCGCTGCAGACGCTTCACATGGACGTGTGGGGCCCAGCCCGCGTCCGTGGACAGGGTCACGAGCGTTACTTCCTGCTGGTGGTTGACGACTACTCGCGTTACACCGCAGTCTTCCCCTTGCGCAGCAAGGGTGAGGTCACTGAGGTGTTGATCGCCTGGATCCGCGCAGCTCGTCTCCAGCTCAGAGAGAGTTTCGGCTCGGACTTTCCTGTTCTGCGTCTGCACTCTGACAGAGGCGGAGAGTTCTCCTCTGACCTTCTGCGAGCCTTCTGTCGTGCACGAGGCATCCGCCAGACCTTCACGCTTCCGGACTCTCCACAGCAAAATGGGATTGCTGAGCGCCGCATTGGCATGGTCATGGACGTCGCTCGTACGTCCATGGTCCATGCGGCTGCCCCCCATTTTCTGTGGCCGTTTGCGGTTCGGTACGCGGCGCATCAGATCAACCTTCAGCCCCGGGTCTCCATGCCGGAGACCTCCCCTGCTTTGCTGTGGACGGGGAAGGTTGGTGATGCATCTGCGTTCCGTGTCTGGGGATCTCGGGCGTTTGTCCGCGACTTGTCTGCGGACAAGCTGTCCCCTCGTGCTGTTCCCTGCGTCTTCCTTGGCTTCCCCCCTGACGCGC